ACCCCGGTCAGCAGTATCCAAGGCAAACTCCCTGCCTGCTGTACTATCGCTCCAGACCCTGCATTAGTGTTTTAAGGAGAATATTACCAATTACCAGACTTAATTGCTTTGAAACAATAGAATCTTGTTTCCTTACAGTGCAGAAGGTCAGGAGACTGAACCATTTTACAAGGTTAAAATCACTTCTGGCACATCTATTTCCATCTGCAGGCTCTAGGGATGTTTCTCTCTCTGGTCTCATCCAGCTTCTGGTGCCCATCGGCATTCCATGGGAATGCCACATCACTCTAATCTCTGCCACCATGGTCACACTGCCTTTTCCCTCTTCTATAGTCTAACCCACAATCTCTCTCCCTTACACGGATATTTGTGATTGAAATGAGATGATCCTGAGATGACTCCTACTTCAAGATCCTTGAATTCGTCATACAAGTCCTTTTTTCCCATATGACATAATATACAGTTTCCAGAAAATACGACCTGGATTTTCAGGGACCAGTCCCCAGTCTCAGGGGGCTTCTCCAGTCCAACAGTTCCTCCAGATAGCTCTCCGGCCTTTCTCTTGTCATCAGGCAGAACCACCACCTTTGCAAATGTGATGTCTTGGGGCAGGAAAAACCCAAAGTCTCTAGAGAGACAGTGTCTGAGAACTAGTCATACTGTTATCTCTGGGTCATAGTTATCTTGAATTTTAATCTCAAATAATGAATCGATCATTTCTTAAAATATTTTCATGAAATATGAAATGCTTGAAGACTATGTGGGAGATATCAGGTTTCAGTTTGCTCCCCACCCCATCCCTGCAGATTTTTTCTTTTGAAAAGAACTCCTGAGCATATGAAATGATCTTAGTATGCCAGGGAACAGATACTTTAAGCTTATTTAGTCAGGTTCCCATTGAAAGATGAGATTTTAATACATGTAACTAGTACTCAAAACACAGACAAATAGTTAGAATTTGTAAATACAAATACATATTAAATGTAAACAGTGGTGGGGCATTTGCCTTGCGCGTGGCCGCCCACGGCAGAGCCAAGTTGGATTCCTCCGCCCCTCTCAGAGAGCCCAGCAAGCTACGGAGAGTATCTCGCCTGCATGGCAAAGCCTGGCAAGCTACCCGTGATGTATTTGATATGCCAAACACAGTAACAACAAGTCTCATGATGGAGACGTTACTGGGCCCACTTGAGCAAATCGATGAACAATGGGAGGACAGTATTACAATGCTACCACTCAACTGTAAGTAAACATGAAATCTTGCAATTTGCAATTATATGGATGGAACTACAAGGTAGCATGGTAAGCAAAATGAGTCAGTAAGAGAAAGACAATTACTGCAGTATCTCACTCATATGTAATATATAAAAAATCAAAGCAAGAGAATACACAATGTCCAGTAAAAAAAAAACTTTTAGACTCTGATTTCAAAATTGAGGTCATTGAAGTAGGGGAGGGACTGGAAGAAGACAGGAAGTGTCTTATGGACAACAGTAGAGTGATAAAACCAATATTACCTCATTTAAAAGAATTGAGGAAAAAAATCATATTTTTATCAACATACTGCACCAAGATTCAAAAGAATACATTTCTTTGCCATTAAAATGCAATGTAATTCATAATAACAATTGTGATCCCAAGAGTTTAATGTTGCTATGATTTAACTAGTCACATTCTAATAAGAGCATTCACAAACATGTTCTCCAAAAAACAAGAAATAAGTACCCTGAAATTGTATTAGAATCTTTCTGATACATGCCAAATCATTTTTTTTCACAGAGTTAGGATCTATTTAGCCCTTCTATTCAAATAGCCTTATTTTTTCCTAGCTCACTAAGTTTCCATATCATATTCCAATTATCAATACTTTTTTGGAGAAATTTTCTCTAGGCCAAACTGAAGTGCACCATCTCACCCTGTCTGAATTTCCAATTTAGTTGTGAGGACACTCAGTTGGCTACAAAATCATCTCTGCTGTCTTATTCTCTACATTTAAACCAAACTGAAGCACATTAGAAAGCAAGCACAATGTGTTCAGATTATAATGATCAAGACTCCCCAGTGGATTCTGATCATCCCCAGGGTGATTTCAAACTTCCTAAAAGACAGAGGAGGTCTCCTCCCTAATGGGGTTCATACCTCAATACCAAACCATTCTTCAGTGCTTCTTGTCATGGACACACTAGGTCTCAGCCCAGTCCTCTCAAAACATTCCACAATAACTCACCAGTCTGTACACACTTCATTTGAAAACTCCCTCATCAATAGTCAACACTTAATAATTCACAATTCTAGTCAGCAGCTCAGAAATAATCATTTAGCCCAAACAACGTTTTTGTTCTCTGGTTCTTATTATTCTTCATACATGCTGCTTTGGGGGCACTCATGACCCTCCAATTTATACCTGGTCCACTTTCTGTGTTTCCACAGTAAGCTGGAGGTGCCATATCATATGATAGTCATTCTTGCACCTGTGTTTCTTAACACCATCTGGCACATATGCAATATATAAAGAATCTCATTTTCAGAAACTTTTCTGTGATTGATTATACCTTATTATACAAATAAGTTCATTCAACCTGGCTGTTCTTTAAAATATATTTCTAAATGTAAAATAAGGGTGGCTCTTTCTATTAAAGTTCCACAAATCAGTAATCACCATAATGTTTCTAAGGTCAGGAAGGCTTTCTGACATCTTGAAATACACTTTACAAATGTCCCTCTTTTGCCTTTCACAGAGAAATATGCTCCAGGTTTTATGACCTGCAGTCTCAGTGTGGAGTAGATCTATCTTTAGCCCCTGATGACTGCATCCACTCTATAACACACAAAGTGATGGCAGAGATGTTTATTTGATCACATTTAGCAGACCTTTTAAAAAGCCCATGTCTGTTTTCATGTGCATCTTTAAATACACAATGCATGCACACACACACATACACATACACACATACATTTTTACTCTCATGAACCCTCTCTCTGGACAGCAATAAATAAAACTGCAAAGTAAAGAAGGGAGGAAATCTACCATAAATCAAATATAAATTTCAAAACCAAGGAGAATATATCACAATTCAACACCCTTAGTCTTTAAACTTGAGACACAAAATGCTAGCCACCCCCAAAATGGCCACGTCTAGAATAATCAAGATTACAGAGGAAATCATTTAAATATAAGTTGCTATGACAGGAAACAGATTAGCTCATCAAAGAGACAGGATGCTCGTCTCCACTAGTATCTCAGTTATTTTGTGCATAAGTCAACTGCTTTGAGTAAAGGATTGTTAAGCTGCCTTGTGAGAGACCAACACAGTAGGATTAATAATAAAAGCAGGCACAGCACAGAACTACACCATGTTGTAAAGAAGGGGAAATCAGTCAGCAAAGGTGGAGGGTGGTGGACGGGGGTTTAGTAACACGAGGGTCATCGACGGAATGCAGACTATACACATGATAAAAAGAAGACTATCAAAGTAATGCTCACAAGCATGCTTTGAGAGAGTGCTCCTTCAAGATCATATTTTTCCTATGAAACCTCAACAATCCAACTGGATTGCTTGAGATCTGCTGGAATATATTACTTACTCAGCATTCCATCCCATGAGAGGCAGGATAACAACCTCACAAAGTATCTTCAAAGAGTTCTTTGGAACTGTGGATTTGTCACCTTGCAACGCAAAAGGCACTTTGTGGAGTCTACTAGGGACTGAAGATGGCAGAGTGTTCTTGCATTATGCGGGCAGGTGCCACTCAATCACAACAGGGATCCTTGCCTAACTCGGTTCAGAACTCTGAGGCAGGAGGAAGGGGACCCAGAGCAAAATAATATGGGTGACCTCGAGATGCTGGGAAAGCTGAAGGAATAGACTGGAAGGGGACAGACTGCCCTAGAGTGGTCTTTATCATCAGGGTGGTCTCTAGTTTGGGGGCCAACCAGTACATTGCGGCACCACGAGAGAAGAAAGAAGATGAGAAAAGGCGTGAGAGACAATGGTGCAGAGCATGAAGGAATAGATGCAGCCCATACGGTCTAGTCAGATCTCACTGAGTGTGGGATGACTTAATGACTCACTGATAAATTAATGTTGCTTTAAATCACCATATGTGAGGCAATGTTATACTCACAATAGAAATTTAACACACTGCCATATTTTTTTTAGAGATTTTTACAATAAAAGTCACATACAGGGAAAAGTATATTCACTTCAAAACTTTTTTCTTTTTGGGTTTTGCTCAAAACCCCTGGCGATGCTCAGGGGTTACTTCTGGCTCTACACTCAGGAATTACTCCCGGCGGTACTCGGTGGACAATATGGGATGCTGGGAATCGTACCCGGGTCAGCCGCATGCAAGGCAAACACCCTACCCGCTGTGCTATCACGACAGCCCCTCAAAAGTGTTTTTAACAGATATTTAACTGTTTAACAGATGCTCTAACCTCTGTATACCTTATTTCTAAAGTGTATTTCTGAGAGGCAAACAGTGAAGATCCTGAAAGAATACATCTTTCAAAGAATCAATGAGCACTGAGAACAAAAGTTGGACTGATTATCAAATTTCTCCTAAGAAACCTAGCAGAGAATCCCAATTTATTTGAAAATTCTTTTGAACCTGAGTGGCAAATTTTCTATCCTTAGCCTGGCAAGCTACCCATGATGTATTCGATATGCCAAAAACAAGTCTTACAATGTTACTGGGCCCGCTCGAGAAAATCGATGAACAAGGGGAGGACAGTGCTACATTGGTACCACTTTTCCTATTTTCTTCCCCCTTCCTCCTCCTAAGACTAATTTTGAAATGTTTTTAGATAAAGTTTGACAACATCTATTTATTGGCACACCTGCTACTGAGCATTTATTATGGTGATTAAAACTACTGAACTTCATTTTGCTAACTGAAATTTTGCTGCTGTTGAACATGACATTAATTCCCCTTTCTGGTCTTGTTTTACAGCTATCTGATTTAAAAACATAAGAATATGGTTTTGAATCCTTATTACTCACCACTTTGCAGCAAAGAGGCCAAAACCACCACATCAAACCAATGCCCAGGAGCAGCAGTAACACAAGAATAGTGATGATGGCACCAATTCCACTAGACTAGACAAAAGACAAAAGCAAGGCGGTCAGCACATCTTCAGGGCAAATCCCACACATTTTAAGGAAACACCAGGAAAAAAAACAGAACACGTATTAAATGTCAAATTTTATTTCACTGTATTCCTTTACATTCAAGAAATTCACTTACATCCTATTTTACATATAAAGCAGGTAATAATTTACAAAAACATCTTACAAAATTCTAGGTGTTTCATGTCTTAAAAACATAGGAAAATGACTCAATACTAAGATCTCTAATTCTTGTCTCTGGAGAGAAAAATGATTTTGGTTATAAGCATAATTACTATCCACAGGCAGAATTTTTACAGAATTCTCCAAAACTTTTGTCATGATGAAGTACTATTAACTATCTATACTTAAACAATAAGACAAAATACATCTCTAAATCTCCAGACAACTGACTAGACCAGCAACAATGGCTTTTTCTGGCAAATGGTTCATGCACAGTGCAAGAATGCAGTGTCCTATTTTTATCTCACAGATCTTCCTTGAACTCAAGCACTTCATCTTCCCGCTGGACGCCTTTCACTTCCTAACTGCAGCCCACGTCTCTCCCCAAGGCATCTGCCAGGGCTTGGACTCCAAGTCCACTCCGTTTAAGAAACTTTCCCAGGAAGCCTCCCTTAAGTTGTTTAGCTAGAAGGTTCTCCTTCTTGTTATATAATGCTTTGTTTCTATACTTTCATCTTTGCCACTTTCTCAGTTTGTTCACTTGTTTGTCTAAGATGAGCTACAAAAATTTATTTAATTTCGATTTTCTGCCACTATTCATTTTAAGCTCCTGGGTGCTGGGGGAGGGGGTATGTGGTATAATCAGCCTGTTCAATGTATAGTCCATGCTTGGCATTTAAAACTATTTATTAAAAGAATAAACTATACAGGAATCAGGCCGCAAGTGTGACAAACATGAAGAGTGCTCACTGAATAGTTAGCGTCTCTGAAAACTTTGCATCTCTCCTAAACTTTCTTGAGCCTACAATAAAATCTGGGGATGTGGTGTGTGTGTGTGTGTGTGTGTGTGTGTGTGTGTGTGTGTGTGTGTGTGTGTGAATATGTTTTAAAGGCAAGAATTCAACAGTGGGAAGAATATAGGAAAATAAATCAATATACTAGATGGAGAGTTGAAACTTTATATGGCAACTTTTCAGAAATAGATATACGATCATTCAACACAAGTAACAAGTATAATCCCAGAGGTCAGAGCAATAACAAGGGGACAGAAACCTACCAGTATTTATATTAGAATGGCATGTATTCAAAACTGTTGGTCTAGAGCTCTAATTTTAAGCAAGTAGTTTAATTTCCCTAGGCTTCTATTGTTGAATCCACAGGGGAAAAAAGTTCTCCCCAAAGTATAAAACCTTTTTTGTGGAAATTTCATTATTATTAGATATCTTAGAAAAATCACAGCACACCTGACACCTGACATATGTACAAAGTTCTGAATGATTTTCAGAATCATATATATATGATTATATATATATATATATATAATAAGCCAGGGGTAGAGAGATAATTCAAGGGCTAAGGAGCTAGCCCTGTAATTAGCCATCTCCCAGGTCAATCACTGACACCACATAAAGTCCCCTGAGCACAGAACCAGGAGGAGGCCCAAGCACCATCAGGCATGGCTCCAATCCCAAATAATAATGGTGGATGTGGTGTCGAAATGTTGAGTGTAATCAAAGTATAGAGAGAGTAATTTGGAAATCATCTGCCCCACAGGTAGGGGGAGAGTGTGGGATGGGGGTATACTGGGAATTTTGGTGATAGATAGTGGGCACTGGTGAAGGTACGGGTGTTTCATTGTATGACCAAGACTTAAACCCGAAAGCTTTGTAACTGCTCTCACGGTGATTCAATAAATAAAATTATAAAAAATGGGGGAAAAAAAGTAAAGCAGAATTCATGCACAATTCAATCAGCATAATAAGTGGCTGAATAAATAGCAGTACTCCTACAAAAAAAAGGTTCAAAGTCCAACTTAAATTAGAATAGAGCTTTTCCCCCCTCATAAGTATTTTTATTTTTATTTTTATTTATTTATTTTGCTTTTTTGAGTCACACCTGGAAATGCACAGGGGTTACTCTTGGCTCTTCACTCAGGAATTACTCCTGGCGGTGCTCAGGGAACCATATGAGATGCTGGGAATCGAACCCAGGTCGGCCTCATAAGTATTTCAATACCCTACAGAGATAAGATAAATGGTGGGAAACCTAAAAGACTTTCTAACATTTAAGCCACAATGATAGTAGCCTTTAATCCGATTATTTAATAAAATTTGAAGTTTAATGCATAATGATATATGCAAAAAAGATAATAACCACTATGTAAACTTTTTAAAAAAGAGCATATCGGTTTTGAAAAAAAAATTGCAAATTTGCAACAGCATAGATAGACCAAGAGGGTAGAGAGGGTAGTGAGCTACAAAATATTAATTTCCAGCGTAGCAGAAGTAGAGCAAGGGTTAAGGCACTTGTGCTGCCTGCCTCTGACCCCAGTTCGATTCTCTTGCACCAAACATGGTTCCCCCAAACAATACCAAGATTTGCTCCTGAACATACAGCCAAGAATAGCCCCTGAGTACTACAAGGTGTGACACAAACCTGCCTCCCTTTAGAAGAAAAGGAAGAAAATGAAAATAGTAACTACCAGAAGGAAAGGGGTTAAGTGAATAATAAGAAAGAAAGGGGCCCTGGTAGGGTAAAAAACTGAAACTAAAATTCTGGTGCAAACATGAAAGATGCTTATACTGATGTTAAGTTTAATTCTGTGTCCAGGGAAATTTTGTTCATTTTGTGGGGGACCATACCCAATGGTACTCAGGACTTAATCCTGGCTCTTCACTCAGGGATCATTTCTGGCAGGACTCAGGGAACTACATGGTATGGTGGGGGTTGAACCTGGTCGCCCGCTTTCAAGACAAGAGCCCTACCCACTCTGTATTGGTTCTGGCCCCTAATTCTGTACACTCTGATACCTTCATAATATTATAGAGCAAGGTTACTAAAACAGCCAAAAAAATTTTTTAACATTGGTAAAGACATGCCAGTAAAAAGTTCGGTTTGACTAATCAGAAAAATCTCAAAAGTTGTGTCATTTCCTTCTATCATTTGCTATTACCGCAATGAAAAAGACTACCATATAGTCCTTGGAAACTATCTCAAAACAAATCAATTTTCAAAAATACTGTGTTGCTAGCACTCTTTCAGCTTAATAAAATCCTCTAAAATATAAACTACAAAACATTAATTTCAAACATTTTCAGTAACTTATTAAGAATCAACCACACATGACCAATTAAAATTTCTCCTTTGAGTTCTAATTTTTCATGGGGATGTAAGAAGAAATAAACATATAACCTATTAATGTAGCTGATGATGTTATGGTATAAATTAACAAAAACTGACACCACCAAAGTACCATAGAATTGACTATTTCACTTACTCAATCTCTCAAAAATTAAAACTGGTGACAGAAACTTCACACACTTATTAACTTCATAGAACACAATCATTCACATGTCACCATTCCAAGTACACTAGACAATACTCCTAAATAATATTTATATCAAATTAATTTAAGATTTAATAAGAAGACAAGCACTTATCCAGCAACTTTGAGTACAGAGTCTGGTACAATGAAAATATAAGTTCACCATTATTGCTATATCCTAAACAACTAAATCCCTGTCTTGCAAAGTGCTGGAACTAATTCAAAGTATTAGGAAAATTACTCCAAGTTCAAGTGTACTCATATACACTGAATTTTAGATAATCCTGAACAAATCATGCAAGTTTTCACACTTGATCATGCTAAGATCTAAAATAAATAGGTAAAATAGGAAAATAAGAGTAAAAAAAAAAGTAAAATGAGGAAAAATGTAAATAAATAAATACAGAGAAAGCCATGCTATCTGAGGGGAAAATGTCAAATAAAAGGGGTTACAAGGGCTGGAGCAATAGCAAAGCGGGTAGGGCGTCTGCCTTGCACGCGGCGACCCAGGTTTGATTCCCAGCATTCCATATGGTCCCCTGAGCACCGCCAGGAGTGATTCCTGAGTGCACAGCCAGAAGCAACCCCTGTGCATCAGCGGTGTGCCCCAAAAAGCAAAAAAAAGGGGTTACAGGAGATACCCCGAACCTGTGGTTGATTGTGTATGAAATCAACTCAACACCCCCTTCCCTGTGGGAAGATCAAGCCCCAGCATTCTGTGAGATGGTGCATGTTCACGCTGTGCTCTATAACTTCCAGAAGTTTCTGTGAACACTAGACCTGCCTTCTTAGAATTCAAACTCTGTATCTAGAAATAAGGTCATACAAATTCAGGATGTGAATCTATGAAAGATTTGGTAGATGGTTTTCTTCTTTCTACAAATGTGATGTGCAGGAAATTTAGAAATGTGTGCTTACAGACTTTAGCCTAGATGGTCTTGAGAAGGAGTTCAAATTCTTGACTTTCCCTCAAAAAAAAAAAAACCTCTGTTAGTAGCACTGACAAAACATTATGCGCATCCAGATGCAAGCACACATTGATTATGACAATACTATCACCTCAACTGATTCCAAAAACATCTCTCCAATAAAATGAAAAATGCATACTTCCTAAAGACTACAGACCTAATCTTTATCACTTTTAAGCTAAGCATGATGGAAAACAGCTCGGAGGAAGCAAAGAACGTAATGCAACCTGACCTTGCAGTAAATGTACGAAACACAGCCTAGGGGCCCCGTCCCAGACACTGGCTCAGTTAACCGCACACAAATGCAGCTCTCCCCCTTCCTTTGTTTTGATTCGCCAGGCTCTTATCAGAGCATGGGTGACTTCAGTCATGAAAGGGAAGCAGTTTCATTGTTCACATCACTTTATAAACAAATTCAGGAAAGGTCAAACACTTCATTCCAGTCCTGCAAGCAGATACTATGCTGCAAACAGCAAACTGAGGAGTTAGATAAAAACCAGGCAAGATTGCTCATG